CATTCATCATTGCTTGGAACGAGCTGGGTGCATTGCATAGGCCAAAGGTCATAACTGTTGGTTCATACAGTCCCTTGTGAGTGATAAACGCGGCTTTCTCTTCGTCTCCTTCGCGAATGCGAACATTGTTGTAGCCCCACCTTAGGTCGAGTGAGGTGAAGATCGATGCGTGCGAAAGCCTATCCACAAGGTCTGAGATCCGGGGGATCGGAAACTTGTCCTTCTTCGTGACCGCGTTCAGTGCGCGATAGTCCTGGACCAAACGTAAACTCCCATCTTTTTTACGGACAAAGAAGACTGGGGCGGCAGTAGGGCTCTTGGACGTGCGGATGTAGCCTTTGTCTTCTTGCTCCGTGATCCAAGCTTCCAGCGAGTTCCGTTCGTCGAGGTTGAGCGGGTACAACTTGGCCGGCTTGGGGAGTGAGGCTCCAGGGACTAGTTCGATTGCATGATCGTAGGGCTTCCGTGTTGGCATTCTTTCCGAGGCTTTCTTGGAAAAGACGTCGCCATACTGCCGGTATTGTTCTGGTACATGGTTTGACCAGTATTCGCGGTCCTGTTCGCCTTTTGCTGCAGGATTGGTATCCTTTTTCTCTTCTAACCTGGCTCGCATCTGACGAGCACTTGGGTCATCAGAGAAGTTCACCCAATGAATAAACTGATCGGTGCTCTCCCAGGGTTCGGGGCCGAGGTCACCGTACTGATCTTGTGCAACATCTTCCACTCGGGGAAGTTGTAAACTCCGTAATTCTTCGTCCTGCACTGTGTGCCGGGTGCATGTTGAGGGACAGCGTGTGAATTCAATGTTCCCTGCATTCCAATCGAGTTCAGGGTTATGTTCACGTAGGAACGCCATGCCGATGATGATGTCTTGCCGCCCAATGTCTGTGACAAGGAACGACTGCCAAGCGAGGTGATCTCCGATACGGAGTAAACAACGGACGTAGTGTGTGATTAATCCCTTCTTATTCTCGGTGGCGTCTGCATTGAAAACTCGCACTTCACGAGAGAGGCGTCGTAGGGTGAGTCCATGTTCTTGAACAAACCGGTGGTGGATAAAACAAGAGTAGGCTCCTGAATCGAGGAGGGCTTCTGACTGAACTTCATGCGTACCTTGAGTGAGGGAAACTTTGAGATCGAACAAATTTCGCGGGCGACGTGCTGATGCAAGATAAATAACATTCGAACGTGGAACAACAGATTCCTCTAGGTCTACGCTATGATTACAGAGTCGGATACTTTGGTCAGTCTTCAAAGTACCCGTTCCAGAAAATCCTCCTCAGAAAATCCTCCTCAGATTCCTTGACCTCGACGATGCGTGCGGCGGTCTCAGTTTCCGGTGCCTTGCCTTTGCCTTTTCCCTTGGCGGTCTCAAACTCCTCGAGGGCCCTGCGGATGTACTCCCATTTGTCTTCATCGGCCGTGTCCATCGTGCGTACCTTGATCGGAGCGGCTGGTTGCTTCTTCATGTCAGGGAGCTCGTAGTAGCCCGTGTACTGAGGGTTGCGACACTTCTGGCCGGTTGTAAACTTGTGCCTACCGCAACGGAAACAGAGCTTCTTGTCGAGCCATTCGAGCTGCTCCTTGGATAGTTTCTCCGGTTTGCGCATAGCGTCGACATCCATGGCGTTAGGGTCCCGTGGAGGGCGACTAGTCGTGTGCTGCTGCGAAGACGACTTGGCCTGATTTCCGCGAGTTTCCATTTCCAGTTTGAGTACCCAGTCCAGGTAGTGTTCCCACTTTGTCGGAATCAGCATCAGGTTTACTTGCCGCATTGCTGTCATGACCGTTAAGATCTGCGAGTTCTTCCCGACTTGGTTGTCGATACGACGGATGAGCTCTACATCGGCGTAACCGGACTT